AAAAAAAAAATTTCACTGGAGGAAGGAATATAAAATAATGTGTGTGTATTAAACACCATCACTTTTGTATTTGCAAATCTAATTGGGGCTTATCCCACTCAGTTGAGGTTCCACAGCATTTCTTACCTGAGTCCTAAGGACACCCATGGTTTCCAGATCCTCCTCCTGCTTGGCAATGGTCTTTTTCATCTCATCCATTTGAAGCTGCTTGGAAGCCAGTGCCCTCTCTGCCATTTCCAGTTTTGCATTTAGTTCTTGCAGCACTGCCCTGTTTACTTTTTCTGACTACAAAAGACAATTTGATTCTAGAAATGTAGCCTATGTTAGATAAACCTTTAGTTTTTAAAAAAAAAAATTATTAGTTTTGTTGGACATAGTGGCTAACACTAATAATCCCAGTTACTTGGGAGGCTAAGGCAGGAAGGTAACAAGTTTGAGCCAAGCCTAAGAAATTTAGGGAAGCCCTGTCTCAAAAGGAAAAATAAAAGGATCTGGGGATGTTGCTTAGTAATAAAGTGCCCCTCTCTAGTACCAAATAAATACATAAAGAAATAAAAAATAAAATAAATAAAAATCATTAACTTTAAATTAGTCTGTTCATTAGCAATACCAACTTACTCAAAAAATTGTATTCATTTAACATATGGCTTGCAAATCATAGTTTCCTCATTTATTTATTTAAAATATTTTTTACATGTAAATGGACACAATATCTTTATTAATATATTTATTTTTATGTGGTGCTGAGAATGAAACCCAATGCCTCACACATGCCAGGCAAGTGCTCTATCACTGAGCTACGGCCCTAGCCCAATTTCCTGATTTAAAACAACAATATTTTTAAAAGATAATACTGATATAGAGACATAATAACCCCCTCCAAAATTGATGAACTCTAGATAGGGCAAAGGAGTGGGAGGAGAAAGGAGGGAGCAGGGGGTTAGTAATGATGGAGGAATGTGATGGACATCATTATCCAAAGTACATATATGAAGACATAATTGGTATGAACATTCTTTATATCTCCTATATGTGTAATAAAAATGGTGATGCGTTCCACTGTCGTGTATTTAAAAAATAAAAGCAATTTTAAAAAAAACAACCCCCTCTAAAAAAGAGTATATTTATAAGAATATAAATTCAAAGACTTTCTAATTCAAAGTTTCCATTGTCTATAAATTATCACACCATGCTGGGCATTATTATCAATTTAAATTGCAATCCAGTGAGTCCAGGGTTCCAAGTTCACTGCAGGCAGGCAAACTGGCCTTGTACAATCACATGTGAATGGCCCCTCCAGCCCTAGCCAGCTGTCTTACTGTACACTGTGCACATAGGAGCCCATGCTCTTAGCTCTCCTACAGCTCTCTCTACCTACTCTGAGAAATACAAATGCTTACTTTTTGATGGTGGGACATGAACACTACCTTTGTAACACAAAGCACATTGTACATAAGTGAGAAGTTGTAAATATTATGACACAAGAAATCAATTATAAACTGAAAAGCAACTTTTGAAACGGGACTTAGTCAAGGATTCAGGTAACTTTTTTTAAGGTATAAAATGCTCAACAGTTTCCATTAATCAATAATCTATTTTTGTATGAGTGCCTCTTTCCTTATTAGTTCCTCAATTGTTTTCAATGCATTATTATGTTTTTGAAGAAGCTTGTTGTGTGTTAACTGTAGAATGGCTAACTTGGACCTATTAAAAAAGATATTAATAAACAGAATCTTGCCGGAGGATATCACAAACTCAAAGCCTTGCCTCCGAATCATCTTCTGAACACTCCAGTAGCAAAATTTCCTCTTATCTTTATAATTCCACCATTTACTAGCATTTTATTACTCTCAAAACAATAGTTTCTGGGGAAAAAACAAGCTAGATACAAAGAATAACTTTGTTATAATAAACCTTTAAAATTTTATCCCTCCAAAGTATCTCATAGTACTCTTTCAGATAAATAAAAAACAAATATTGTGAATTTATTCTCTATTCCTAATTCCAATCTGTATTTTAAAAAGGTATTCTTTTGGGAAAGCTTCCATTCTGCATAGTGTACTTACTTTCCATCCTCTGTTTTAGCTTGCTCCATTTTTATTTCCGATCGCATGCTTTCCACTTGCAGCTCTAGCTTCTTGTTATTATAAACAAGCTCTTGCTTTTCATTCAGCTCTGCTGGGATTGCAGAATTTTTCCTTTCAAGGACCTGGCATCTAAGAAAGATGAAGATAAACAATGCAATTTCACTTCTCAATGGCTTTTCAACACATCCCAAGAACAGGTTAAATTCAGAGAAGTTTAAGGACTGTAGGATTTATGAATGTAAAGTAAAATATTTTATCCATTCTGCTTCTTTACTAGACATGTCTATATCGCTGAACTTTTATGTCTAAAAATAAATAAATATAGATATAAGGTGATATGAGGTACTCTCATCTTTGAATAATTGGTGTATGTAGTCATATAAATATATTTTTCTTAGCTAAATACAGACCAAAGTAGAAGTTGGCTAGCAGTGATTCTCATATAGTGATCCATGGGTACTTTTTATATTTGAAAAAGTTCTGTCAATCACCAAAACTTGGATTTCTAATAAAGACCCAACAAAGGAAAAAGGAAGCCCTCACAGGTTGTTTTAAATATCAAAAAGAGAATTTCGATCTGGGGTTGTGGCTCAATGGTAGAACACTTGCCTGGCATATGTGAGGCACTGGGTTCAATTCTCAGCACCATGTATAAATAAATAAATAAGATAAAGGTCCATCAAAAACTAAAAAAAAAATTTAAAAAGAATTTCAATATAATAATAGCAAAAACAAATAAATGACAGCTATGTACAATGCATTAAAGCCAAGCACATTAAATATCTTATTTAATTTGGTGTACATTAGAGAAATTATGACACATAATTTACACATGACAAAACTTAGGTACAGAGAGGTTAAATAAATAACTTGCCCAAGATAGTAACACAAACAAGTTATATTTGCTACATTTTGGGTAACTTCTTAGATCAAAAGAAATAAGCAAATGTAAAATTCTCAATTTATATGCTAGCTTTAATGATTGATTAAACAACAGATTGAGATGTACTTTTCCCTAAACTTCACTCAGTCTCTTTTCAGCTTTCTTTTGTGTGTGTTCAAATCAGTATTGTCACAGTATAGGAAATCTGGCTTGCTACTTTGCACAGGTGGCATGTAGGCTAGTATACTTAGAATCAAAGTCCCCATTCTTTCATATTACAACAAGAAGTTTATGCTTATACATTAACCTGTACATTAGTGTTTTCTGAATTCATATTTTACTTAGGCCTGTTTTTCTTTTACTCAGTAACATAGTAACATACATAAAATTATAGTAAATATACAGTAAATATATAGAACTATATTTATAAATAGTAACATATTTAATAAAAATGTGTATTTTTCCAAAGAGGATAAAAGCAACCTCTTTCTCTTACTTTTCTTTTTTTTTTCAAAGAGAGAGTGAGAGAGAGAGAGAGAGAATTTTTTTAA